AAATGAATTTTTTAGCGATTTTTTAATGGATTTTTCGGGTTGTGGACTGGGATTCTACAGCATCCTCGTGCCAGGTGGGAATTCTGGGAAAATTTGGGAATTCTGGGAATTTGTTGGGAATTTTTTGGGCATTTTTCGGGTTCAAAATGAATTTTTTAGCGATTTTTTAGTGATTTTTTGGGAGTTTTTTGATGGATTTCGGGGTTTTGGAAGCTGGGGTTCTGCAGCATCCTCGTGCCAGGTGGGAAAATTTGGGAATTTTGGGAATTCTGGGAAAATTTGGGAATTCTGGGAATTTTTGGGGAATTTTTTTGGAATTTTTCGGGATAAAAATGAATTTTTTAGCGATTTTTTAATGAATTTTTCGGGTTGTGGACTGGGATTCTGCAGCATCCTCGTGCCAGGTGGGAAAATTTGGGAATTTTGGGAATTCTGGGAAAATTTGGGAATTCTGGGAATTTTTGGGGAATTTTTTGGGCATTTTTTGGGCATTTCTCGGGATAAAAATGAATTTTTTAGCGATTTTTTAATGGATTTTTCGGGTTGTGGACTGGGATTCTACAGCATCCTGGTGCCAGGTGGGAATTCTGGGAAAATTTGGGAATTCTGGGAATTTTTGGGAATTTTTTGGGAATTTTTTGGGCATTTTTCGGGTTCAAAATGAATTTTTTAGCGATTTTTTAGTGATTTTTGGGAGTTTTTAAATGGATTTTTAGGGGTTATGGGCTGGGATTCTGCAGCATCCTCGTGCCAGGTGGGAAAATTTGGGAATTCTGGGAAAATTTGGGAGTTCTGGGAATTTTTTTGGAATTTTTTTGGAATTTTTCGGGATAAAAATGAATTTTTTAGCGATTTTTTAGTGATTTTTTGGGGGGTTTTTTAATGGATTTTTGGGGTTTGGGCACTGGGATTCTGCAGCATCCTCGTGCCAGGTGGGAATTCTGGGAAAATTTGGGAATTCTGGGAATTTTTTGGGAATTTTTCGGGTTCAAAATGAATTTTTTAGCGATTTTTTAGCGATTTTTTGGAGGATTTTTTAATGGATTTTGGGGTTTGGGTGCTGGGATTCTTCAGCATCCTCGTGCCAGGTGGGGAAATTCGGGAATTCTGGGAATTCTGGGAAAATTTGGGAATTCTGGGAATTTTTTGGGCATTTTTTAGGATTAAAAAAAATTAAATTTTGGGGGGAATTTTTGGGGTGAATTTTGGGGGGGAATTTTTGGGGTGAATTTTGAGGATTTTTATTTTTTAACCTCTCAAAAATTCCCAAAATTCCCAAATTCCAGGGGCAGGGGAGCCCAACCTGGATGCCCTGGAGAACAATCCCTACCGGAGCCGGCGCCAGCGCCAGGAGTGGGAGGTCAAAGCTCTGCTGGAAAAGGTGAAAAAAAAATCCCCAAAATACCCAAAACTCAGCCCAAAATTCACCAAAAAATCCCCAAAAATTCACCCAAAAATTCAGCCCAAAATCCCCCAAAATTAACCCAAAAATCGCCAAAATTTCACCCCAAAAATCCAAAAAAATTCAGCCCAAAATCCCCAAAAATTCACCCAAAAATTCAGCCCAAAATCCCCCCAAATTCACCAAAAAATCGCCAAAATTTCACCCCAAAAATCCAAAAAAATTCAGCCCAAAATCCCCAAAAATTCACCCCAAAATTCGCCAAAAATTCACCCCAAAATCCCCAAAAAATTCACCCGAAAATCCCAAAAAATTCACCAAAAAATCGCCAAAATTTCACCCCAAAAATCAAAAAAAATTCAGCCCAAAATGCCCAAAAAGTCAACAAAAAATCGCCAAAATTTCACCCCAAAAATCCAAAAAAATTCAGCCCAAAATCCCCAAAAATTCGCCCCAAAATCCCCCAAAAATTCACCTGAAAATTCACCAAAAAAATC